CCGTGGACGTTGAGTTTTCATGCCCCATTTAACTGCTGATGTACGAAAAAGACCTTGGTTATTTTTGTTGTTGTTTTCTTTTATGTTTTTGTCCGTTGAACGGAAGAATGAGCATCAACAAAAAAAGCAAAAAAGTTTGAATACAACGAGGCATACTATATTCTTTCCATTTAATTCATTACCCGAATTCCTGGAACGTTTCCCTGCTTGAGGAATTCGGAGACGATTCTTTTTGCGAAATAGGTTGACGGAATTGTTTTTGTCTCCGGCAATTACATTTTTGAGCATGTCTGAAGCCAACGATTGAGTGGAAAGGTTGAAAAGATTCTTCGGATTTATCCCTTGGCCTTGAATGGGATTTATTTTTCTTTGAGGTCTCTGAAAATTGGATTACGAGGGTTCTAACAAAAGTTCTGGGAGTAGCAATGAAAATGGCTCACAGTTGAGCTGAAAAAAATTTTTTATTCAGGGAAAACATATTGTTTGGCACACAAAAAAATATCAGCCCTGTTTGACAAATTTTTTGAATTTTTTTCATTATTCAACCTGGTAGAGTTTTACTCTCCACTCAAAAGACGAGGCGCCCTTTTTTTGTTGTGGCCCAGCTTTCCCCTCAGAATTTTTAAAATCAGCTTGGCATTCTTTCTAAGGGTTGCCTCCAGGTCATCCAAGGCAATTCGGCCATTTTTATTGACAGCCGCCTTCACAGCCGCCAAAGTGGCGGCTGTTGATGTTGATATATATACCCTATAAATCTGCAGAGTTTCAATTTTTTTTAATATGTGTTTACAGGAAAAGGTCAACTCTTTTAAGAAGCAATTCAAGTCGAATTTTTTGCTGGTCCCGTGAAATTAGACTCAGAGAGGTTCAATTAGTCAAACTCATGTTCATTTCCTGTCTAAAGTCAAAATGGGTCTTTTCATTTTTAAAAATATTGTGGTTTTAGAGTCACTAAAAATGGAGTGCGCTTCTTACTCGGGGATAGGCTTCCATCGAAAATTTGCAAACTGTAAAACCCCGGTACGAGTCTTACTCGAGCTGGTGTGCGTGGTACTTGAGTATAAATACGGTAATTGGAGTTTGAAGATTCCCCCCCCCCCCAGAACTTCGAGAGGATGATGATCAATCGCGCCCTTCATTATTTCCTCTTTTTCTCACCAACAAAATTTTTTTTCTTCTTCAACAGGAGGATGACGAGTTCACCTTCCACCGACACCCGGTGGCCCAGAGCACCGACTGCATCCGCGGCAAGAAGGGCTACAGCAAGGGACTCCACGTGTGGCAGATCAAGTGGCTGACGAGACAACGTGGCACCCACGCCGTCGTCGGCGTCGCCACGGCCGACGCCCCACTTCACTACGTCGGATACACGAGCCTCGTGGGACGCGACGTCCACTCGTGGGGTTGGGATTTGCGCCAAAACCGGCTTTTGCACGATTGCCGGGAACCCCCGGGTGATGCCCCGGTGTACCCCTCGTGCCTCGGCCCCGACACTACTTTCGTCGTTCCAGACACCTTCTTGGGTGAGTAAACATATACAGTATATCTATATATATATTTTAAATTTCTATGAAGGAGTAATTGTTGGTTTAAATTTTGTGCTTCTTTATCTTACATAATAAAGTTACTTGCGTTTGTCGGTGATTCCGTTGACCACTCCATCCCTCCTGACTTTTCCCCCTACCTCCCTCCCACAGAGCCCCAGAGAGGCCTGCAGGAGGGTCCCGTTTCCCGTTTTTTCAAGTTTAAAAATTTGGCAAAAANTTTATCTTACATAATAAAGTTACTTGCGTTTGTCGGTGATTCCGTTGACCACTCCATCCCTCCTGACTTTTCCCCCTACCTCCCTCCCACAGAGCCCCAGAGAGGCCTGCAGGAGGGTCCCGTTTCCCGTTTTTTCAAGTTTAAAAATTTGGCAAAAACTGACTTTTTGTGCAAACCTCATTTTTAAAACTTATAAAGGAGCGCCATGATGTTTTCTGCATATCCTTTTTTTAAATTTTAAAATTGCTTAATAATTGACCAAGTTACAATGCAAAACACAAAAACATTTTTCAAAACCATACGAAAATCGCGAAAAATTAACATTACTTTCTTAATTTTAACTCTAACATTTTCCATCATTAAAATGAAACGAAAACATCTAAATTCTCAAAACATCCCTGCGCACATGTTCCTGTAAAATTTCTGAAATTGAGAGAATATTGAAAAAATGACAAGGAGAAGAACTGAAAAAACCAAATTTTTGGAAATTCCCCAAGAACAAAAATTTTCAAAAACGTTCTACATTTTCCACTTTAACTTGGCCAATTTTTTAAATTTTTTCAAATTAAAAAATACTAAAATTTGTAAAACTTCAGCGCGCATTCAAATCTGTTTTCAAATTTGAAATTGGTTTGATAGATAAAAAGTTACGATGAGCTAAACTGCAAACTCGGACATTTTTCGTTTCCGGACTTTCTTGATTGCAAAATTTTTCAAAATTGAAATTCTTGATGCAGCTTTAAATTTAAAATGGCGCTGAATGCGCGATGAAGTTTTGCATATTTTGCTTTTTTTAACTTCTTAAAATGTTGAAGATTGATGCAGATACATGCAAAAACGCAAAATGTTTCAGCAAAAATTGTACGAGAATTTTCAAAAACGTTTTGCGTTTTTCGTTTTAACACAGTCAATTATTAATATTTTTAAAACTTTGAAAATGCAAGAAATCATAAAACTTCAGCGCGCATTTAAATCTGTTTTCAAAATTGAAATTGGTTCATCAGATGAAAAGTTATTATGAGGTAAAGTGGAAACTCAGACATTTTTGATTTCTGGACTTTCGTGATTGCAAAATTTGTCAAAAATTCAATTTTCAACAAATCTCCAAAATTTTTTCAAATGTTGAATGCACACTGAAGTTTTTAACATTTTCGTTTTTTAAACATGTAAAAACATTTGAAATTGACAGAAATATGATTTAAAAAAACGCAAAATGTTTTTTTTAATCGTACGAAAAATGGGAAAAAAGGATTCCACTCTTTGATTTTTATCTATTTCAATCAACAACATGTTTCAACTTTAAAAATATTTAAATTTGTAAAGCATCTGTGCGCATAAACCCAAAAAATAATTCCAGATTTGAAGAAAAATTGAAATAGTTATGAGCTAAACTGAAAAATGTGAAATCCCGTTTCTGTATTTCTTTCTGTTATGTCAATTTCCAAAAATTTAATTATGTATTGA